CGATATGGAGCGTTACACCTGGCTTAAGCGCGACTTCTGCCGCCGCCGAGAAGCATCTGGACAGGCCTTGGGCTGAGAAGGAAGATGTTGAGGCATGCAAAGCGATTGGATTCACCAAGACGACTCTTTCCTCTTCCTCGGCATCGGCAGCGACACTGGTTCCAGCCCGACCACATGCGGTCAAGTAGGCTAACAAGGCCTGCACAGACGCGCAGAATGTAACTTTGACATGCCGTGTCGTGAGTAAGTTTTGAAGGGTTGGCGCGACCAACTGCTCCAGACCATCCGCGTCATGTTCACCGTGACTGTGCAGTGATGTTGCAAGGTCTTGGAGGAAGCTATCCCGACTTGAGCAAATGATGAGTAGTGTTGGACATGTCTCTGACTGCGTGGTGAGAAGGTAGCGAAGCAAGGCCGGGAGGGTTAGCGGGAAGAGCACTGTTGGCGCGGGCGTTGGCGACATGACAGAACGGCTGCTTGTGGAAAGTTTGTCGGCTGTCATGTGTCGGTGCAGGTTGTCATCGGTATACTTATTCGGGGAGCACAGCTTGGGCTGGACGTGACAGGCGCGGAGGTGCCAATCGGCGGCAATACCCGCGCCCCGGGCCACCCCACTACGTCGGTTGGCCATCCATCAGAACACCCAGGGCATGCACGCCGCGACTTTCAATCACGATCACCAGGCCCAGAACCTGCTCCCTGCCTTGCCTGACTCTGCATAGTCGGCCTCCCGTTTGTGCGCAGAGACGAAGCGCGCACGCTCCGGACCGAAGCGCTGTCCCAGGCGCACGTCGCGGTCATGGAGTCCATCAGTCGCATATCGAGCTTGCTGGAGACAGGTATGGCGCCTTTCACATTTTTCATACAGATATGCTGCCCGTTTCTGCTCCCCGATCTGGGCTGCAGGCCTTCTGACCATGTAATTGCTTGGTGCCGCCGTTATGCATCCCTCGAACTTCGCTCACTGGTCTCTCTCTGCAGCTCGCGACCTTACCCTCGAAGCCGCCCGCGATGCCAGTAATGTCCGCCGAGCGCCGACAAAAGAGTTGCCTTCGGGCCAGCTCAAGAAGCTCCTTGACAGCAGATCAGAGCGCGATGTGCTCGAAGGACTGCGCAGAGTCGTCACTGTATGAAGCCCCGCCACGGTCTCGAGACCAGCCCATTGGACGCTATGGGACGTGTAGTAACTGACTACAGCGCATCTAGATGTCCTACCGACAGCCGCCTTCGCAAACGTTGCCCTTCTTCTCCCACGTGATCAAGAACGTCGCATCCCCCTCGCTCCAGGTCAAGAAGCTCGTCTACATCTACCTCCTCCAGCATGCCGAACACGAACCAGACACCGCGCTCCTCTCCATCAATACGATACAGAAGTCGCTGACGGACACGAATCCTCAGCTTCGCGCCCTCGCCTTACGCGTCATGTCGAGCATAAGGGTGCCTGTCATTAGCCAGATTGTGAGCTTGGGCATAAAGCGCGGTTCTGGAGACATGTCAGCATATGTCAGGAGGGCAGCAGCTCTGGCAATACCAAAGTGCTACAGGCTGGATCCAAACACCGAGCCGCAGCTATTGGAATACCTTTCGACATTACTGGGCGACAAGCAGTACTTCGTGACGGGCGCAGCTGTATCGTCTTTCTTGGAGCTATGTCCGGAGCGTCTGGATCTTATACATCCGCACTACCGCTCATTGGTACGAAAACTAGTCGATATGGACGAGTGGGGGCAGTTGGCTACACTGCGCTTGATGATGATGTATGCAAGGAAGTGCTTTCCGCGCCGGACGAGGAAGGTCAAGAAGGCAGCTGGGTTCACGACAAACAGCAAGCCTACGCAATCGACCAAAGGCTTTTATGACTCAGAAAGCGATTCGGAAGAAGAGGAAAAGGAACAAGAACAGGACATGGAAGAGATTGCTGTGTTGGATCCCGACCTCGAACTGCTGCTGAAAGGCTGCCAGTCACTCTTGCAGTCTCGGAACGCGGCTGTGGTGATAGCGGTGGCAAGGACGTATCTGTATCTTGGTACCCCAGAGTACCTGACTCAGGCCATTGGCCCGCTGATATCCCTCTTGAGATCTGCGGGAGACATTCAGCACATCGCACTGTACAATATCGTGCAAGTCTGCCTGACCCACCCGGAGCCATTCGTCAAGTACTACACACATTTCTTGGTGCGATCAACCGACGCGCCACATATCTGGCAGCTCAAACTGGAACTGCTTACTCTGATATTTCCTCATGCACCTCTGAGACTACAGAGCCTAATCTTGGCTGAGTTGAGCCATTTCTCACACTCTGGAAGCTTGGATCCAGCATTGGTCAAAGAGTCAGTGCGCGCAATCGGCCGCTGCTCGCAGAGCCCTGCAACAAGCCCACAGACCTCCGCAAGATGTCTGAAGCTGTTGCTAAAGCACATAGGATCGGCCGATACTCATCTGGTAGCCGAATCGCTGGAAGTCATCCGACATCTGATTCAACGAAACCCGAACGCTCACCGAACAACTGTGGTCCGGTTAGCAAAACACCTTGATGCAGCAACGAGCCCCCAAGCACGAGCAAGCATTATATGGCTGGTCGGAGAGTTTGCAGGGATCGATCCAGAGAACAACATTGCCGCTGATGTTCTACGCATCCTCGTCAAAGGCTTCGCGGATGAGGCCGAGCCAGCAAAGCTCCAAATCGTATTACTGGCAGCGAAGGTCTATGTGCATCACTTAACTGCAAACCCGCCTCCAGAGCCGAAAGTGGAAGAGCCTAAACCGAGTCCGTCGCTCATGGATGATTTCCAGGAAGACCAAGGCGGCTTTAGGGATGAGCATCTTGAGTCCGCCCCACAGAATGCGGAGCCTGAAGAGGAGAAGCCACACATTATTGAAGCCCTATACAACTACGTGCTCCTACTCGTGAGGTACGACACCTCGTACGATCTCCGCGACCGCGCTCGCGTCTACAAAGCGCTTCTGGCGACACCAACATCGACACAACTCGCGTCGCTCTTACTTCTTGCGCCGAAACCAGTGCCACATATACCCAGCCCGAGTGAAACAAGAAAGGGCTACGTGCTCGGCAGCGCCAGTCTTGTCATCGGCGACGAAGGCGGTGTAGGTGGTCTCCGAGGCTACGAAGACCTGCCCCGTTGGGTCAAAGAAGGTGACGAACCGGATCCAGCTCTACGCGACGAGGTCGTCTCAAACTCTTCTTCGACATACGTATCGGCATACGAGACCGCGAAGAACATGTCAGCGGCGGAGAGGTTAGACGCTGCAGCAGGTGGTAGCAGCAGGATGACGCCAGACAGCATGTTGAGTCCACGAAGTCTGAACGGCATGGGCGGAGATTCTAGTATGGGCGGTGCAAGTAAATTACCACAGAAAGAGAAGACGCTGGACGATTGGCTGGCCGAGGAAGAAGAGGAGAGCAGTAGCGAAGAGGAAACAGATGAAGAGGAAGAGACGGAGGAGGAGAGCGAATACGAAACAGACAGTGAAGAGGAGACTGATGATGACGAAAGAGGCAATCTCATCAAATAGTCATGAAGGTGTCATACAAATGATCATTCTCGATGTCTGCTTCAAAATCTCCAATTTGTTCTTCGCTAAGAACCCTGATCAACCTTGTTCTAGCTTACCTGTCCAGATTCTCCCATCTAAATTCCTTTCCGTTTGCTAATATCATCGCCGTTGATCTCCCCGCCCTCGACTCCGTTCTTGAAGCAATCTTCGCAGCAGCACGGCAGTTCGGAGGGTTTTTCCGTCCTGTTCTCGCACTCCTTCATCTTGTCCCAAATATCGTCCGACAGTGTTGCTCGTGACTGCGGCTCTTGATACTGGCCTGGGTTGGGTACGACTCTGGAGCATGTATAGCCGCGCCCTCGTTTCGTGGTTCCGTATGGGCATTGAGGTATTCCGTGTATCTCGCACATGATGAAATGGCTATGTAGGCAATTTGCAGCGAAGATGTGCGTGGTCAGATAAGCAGACCAAAATATGATAGAAGTGCTATGGTGACTTGCGAACGAGTTATTCTCGACTGTCTTTATACTACGGCAGACTCATCGTGTGACTGTATAATTTGAGTCAAAGGCTTTGATGACTGTACGTGTGACAACTTGTACTACGAACAACACGTCTGACGCATGGAAGTGCTGTAGTTTCATTTGAGTAATCTACTCAAGAGTTTGAGTCGCAAGTCGTAGCCCGAGTGACGAGGCTCACGTAGAAGTTCGACCTACCTAGATACATATCATCTATTATGAGATGAAACGGCGTTCTCCTAGCACCAAGGCATCCTACCCTTGTGGTCGTCAAAGAAGTTGACAAGACGATAATGCAATGAGCTTGTGTTGTTTCTTGTCTGTGAGGGGGTTCGACCTTTTTACATAGACGAAGCCACGCAACACCGCTTCATCCTGTGTGAGCTTGGGTTTATGGAAGAAGCTGAAGAAGACTTTAATTGATGGTAGTTTTGGTAATTCGATGGTGTTGATGATATAACCTATAGATAGTATCCATCGCCAACTTCAAAGCATTCTTGCTTCTCTATCATTGCTAGGTACAGAGCCTTACTACTTGCGCCTCCGACCTGGGCTTCTATTCCGCTCAAAGAACCGCTATGAAGTTTGGAAGCATAACTAGTACAGTGAGAGTGTCCCACTGCCCTGTGACGGGTGTATGTATACATACACCCCGCGCGCCACATACCGGTGATAGAGGGTATGGTCGATGGATCACGCTAGTCGGGGGTATCCCGAACAGGCAAGGCTACTGCACGTAGAATCCATATGTAGTGCCCCACCGAAGGATGTAGCGTCTTTAACCATGCGAACGCGGGTCGCAGTTGCCGAGATAAAAACCCGGTCGAAGGGCTGCTCTATGTGCGCCTGCGGCGTGGAGTAGCTCGTGACTCGTGGCTCGCAGCTGGTGATGTGAACTATATGAGCAGCACATCGCTGTCGAACTGATGTTACCTGATATCCCTCATATCTTGGCTTATCAATATGAACGGCACGGCTAAGCCCCTCCCATATGCTGTCAATACCCTTCCTTTTTTGGGGAGGGTCATCGCTGTTACTGGGGCAAGCCGTGGACTGGGTCTGGCTGTTAGCAAGTACTTGCTGATAAGAGGTGCCACTGTATCTATGTGTGTAAGTAATTTTCCGGTACTGAATACATGCGAGATGTTTGCTAAGTTGGTGCACCAAACTTTAGGCAACGTCGGTTGACAATCTGTCGAAAGCCACCAAAGAGATTGACGCTGAGCTTCCAGACGCCAAGGACCGGTACTGGACGTGCGTCGTAGATATCGCCAACTTAGACAGCGTTCGGTCTTGGATCGAGGAGACTGTAGCTAAATTCGGAAAGCTTGATGGAGCCGCAAACGTCGCTGGTGAGCTCAATCAGCCTTCTGGATACTGTATGTGTTTCTGATCGAGTCGTCTAGCGGTGGAGCAACGCGAGATCTTCCCTATAACCGACCTCGACCCAGAATACTTCGCTAGGCTGCTCAACGTAAACGTTGTTGGTACTTTCCATTGCTTGAAAGAAGAAATGAAGGTCATCAAGGACGGTGGCTCAATCGTCAATGTTGGAAGCATTGCGAGCCACTACGGAACGCCTGGCACGTCAGGTAAATACTGAGGTTTTCCAAATGCATACGAAACACACGCTGACTTTGCATCTCCACCCTTGAAGCATACGTCGCCGCCAAGCACGCGCTCATTGGTCTTACGAAAGTTGCAGCTTTTGAAGGGGCGTCGAGGCGAATCAGGGTCAACGCGCTGTGCCCGTAAGTGACTTGGATGTCTGAAGACGACCTGAGCTAACTGTAGGCAGCGGATGCTTCAACACAGAAATGATGACGAAGTAGGTTCTGTTCTGTACAGATTGATCGTGACACATTCGCTGACTTCCGACACTTAGGCCTTTCAACTCAGCTGCTGGTGAATTCCATCTGAATAAAGACAACATTCCATGTATCTTGAACCGTGAGCTTCCAGAAACATGGGAGATAGCCGGATCGGTTGCTTTCCTGCTGGGCGATGAGGCCGCGCACGTTACAAAAGCGTCATGGTCCATTGATGGTGGGTGGGTCGAGAGTAACTACAGCTCAGGCTGAGAATGTGAGTGGTATGAAGATCATGGAGTTTGGGATTCGGTGTATTGATGCAGCGTGCGCGGCTGTTGAGCTGTAGAAGTGCACATTGCAGTTTTCCCGAAGTTGCGCGGTCGCGGTCGCGTTCTCGGGTTTCGCGTCGTCATCGTGGCTCAAGCGCCAGCCGTAGTTAGCTCAATGCTTATCGCTATCATCCCCTGCCACCTCCATGGCTGCACCTTCTTTCCGACGGGATACGGTCACGTGTATCTGCTCTGATGCTTCCAGCGTCTCCGTCGGAAAACACAGCAATGCGTCTTCGTGCGTATCGTTACCGTGGGATGGCGCCTGGGACTGCATACAAGACTGTCTATATAACCAGTCCCCAGCTATTCAGCAATATGGGGAACATAAGCAACGCCAAACATCATCTTTCCCATCGACCAGTACAGCTGCAGCGAGATAGACACTATCATGCCTCTTCCATACCCAGACGCCGACATTACGCAATTGCAGCGCGATGCGGACGACAATCTGCTCACATACGGGACCGCATTCCATCCTGAGATCATCACCTCCACCGACGGCATCAACGTGCAGACAGCATCGGGTCACCGAATGATGGACGTAAGTGGCTTCAAGCTCCGAAAGCCTCAAGTATACACCGCTAATTGTTGTATTTAGTTCACTTCAGGCCAGATGAGCACTCTGATTGGGCATGGCCATCCTGAGGTTGTGAAAGTGATCGCGGATCATGCGCAACATCTCGATCATCTTTTCAGTGGGATGATCAGTCCCCCAGTCATCAATCTTGCGAAACGATTAACTGGCGTTGCGCCGGCTGGGCTCGACAAAGCTTTCTTTCTCAGTACGGGCGGCGAAGCGAATGAAGCCGCAATTCGGCTGGCCAAATTCTACACTGGCAAATGGGAGATCGTTGGTCTGGCTGCCTCATGGCATGGCATGACAGGCGGGTCGCTCGGTGCTCAGTATCACGCCGGACGGTCAGGCTACGGTCCCAACATGATTGGGGTAAGTGTATCTGGGTTAACTGCATGTGAGACATACACTGACCTCATGCGCCTACATTTAGAACCTAGCGCTGCCAACACCCAACTCCTATCGGTCGATCTTCAGACACGCTGACGGTACTCACGATTGGAAGACTGAACTGGACTACGGCTTCGATCTTGTAGACAAACAGTCCTGCGGCTCACTTGCGGCAGCTATCGTTGAGCCGATTCTATCAAGTGGTGGTATGCTGGAGCTTCCACCTGGATACTTGAAGGCCTTGAAGGAGCACTGCGTCGCTCGAGGCATGCTTCTCATTGTTGATGAAGCACAGACGGCACTTGGCAGAGCTGGCGATATGTTCGCGTTTACACATCATCCCGAGGATGAAGGCGTGGTACCGGATATTGTGACACTCAGCAAGACGCTTGGAAATGGCATACCGCTCAGTGCCGTTTTGACGTCGAACCCCATCGCCCAGCATGCCAAAGATAACGGCTTCTTGTTCTACACTACCCATATCAACGATCCACTTCCAGCTGCTGTGGGCGACAAGGTTCTCGAGATCGTCATGAGGGACGAGCTCTGCGCTCGTTCCAAGAGGCTCGGTGTCAAGCTCCAAGCAGGACTCAGGCAATTGCAGTCACGCTATGGTTGCATTGGTGACGTTCGTGGTCGTGGTCTAATGGCTGGAATGGAAATTGTTGGCGACAGAAAGACAAAGGTCGGTGCCCCGGAAGTAGGAGCCGCAGTGTCAACAAAGATTGCAGAGATGGGCTTGTGGGCTCAGCTAGCCACGATGGCATCGTTTGGTGGAGTGTTCCGGATAGCGCCTCCGATCACGGTTACGGAGGAGCAGATCGATCTCGCCTTGTCAATCATTGAGGAAGCGCTTGCGACGACTCCAGGTACGATGCCGCTCTACACTGATGTCGCCGCGCACTTGTAATATAGATTGGTTTACAGGAAAAACATCCATTTCAATTGGCTATAATATTCAGACCTCATATTTTGGTTAAGTATACAGTTTTCTATTTGAGTACAAACTGTCTGGGTCGAATATGGACTCTGCTTGGTGGACATAAGGTCCCTGGGTGGAGTGTACACCTTCTGTTGGCGATTGGTGGTCATCTTCGCAGGCCATGCTATCTCTTACTTCGAGTACCTCAGGTGTACAAAGAGTCAACGCGTTTTTCGAATTGCCTCTTGTCGTTCAACTCACTCTCCACCTTGTTCAACTTTGTCTCCGTAGCCGCTTTCGTTGCCTGCTCGGCCTGTACCCTTGCCTCGACATCTAGCAAGGCCTTTTCGAGACTAGACTTCGACTGCAGAGCTTCGTTGAGTGACATGGCCTGCGCATTCAGTGCATCTTGAAGCGCTGATTCTGTCTCTTCTAGGTCCTCAATTTCCTTTCGTATGACGCGCTTCAAGCGGCCACACTGGGGTGGTAATCAGTTTTAATGAATTCTGCTATCTCGAACGTGACTTACCAACAGTACTGGGTCTTCCTTCTCGTCTTCTCCCGCGGCGTCATCGCTTGCAGACCTCTTCCTCTTGGGCTTGGATGCAGTTTCAGACATCGCTGGTACAGCTTCGTGTTTTATGTTTGGTTCCTGATCATAGGTCTTTGTTTTCGGAAGTGGCCTTGTGGCAACGTTATCGCCTTGTTGTACCATGTTATCAAGCGCCCGCGTAGAGTCATTCTCAGGTGCTTTGAGTGGCGGGAATACCGAGAGCTCTTGCTTGACAAGTAGCTTCTTCTCTATCTCCTGGTCAAGCTCGATGTTCGACCCGTCAGTCTCGGGTTTCGTGATATCGCAAGCAATTGTTGGAAGAGCTAGACGATCTCGCGTCGGCTTCCTCGACCTTGACGCATTGGCGATCATTGTGCATGCTTTCTTCAAGACTTTCAGGCCGTCATGCGTCATGACAAGTCGGTCAAGACCCGGGGTATTCTGCTCAAGGAAGTAATACAAGATCAGAAATCGTAGTGACTTGAACCAAGGGCCACTGCCAATCTTCTCAAGCCAATTGAAGGGTTCATGGTATTCGATTTCTCGCAGCAGCTCGATCTCCTTCTCTTCTTGCCGAAGGTGTAATTCTATATTAGGGCCATCACCAAGCCTGAGGCGCACCAGGTTGAATACGCCGCTCGCAGGAGATTTGTATGCTTTTGCATACACACGGGCTTGACTAGTACTCTTTTGATTGCCAATAAGTAGCCAAATTCCTTGGTTGCCTTGCGATTTTCGGCTTGCTGCGTAGAACTTGAGGTTCGTCTTCGTGGCTGTAGGGAGGTAGCGGAAATTTGTTCGCCACGCACTGTCTTTAGCGATCGTATCGTGGAACTCTTGCAAACTGTAGCCAAAGCGGTTGTCTGCCATAGCTCGAGTCGCTCTGAATAGCTGTTCCGGTAGTAAGAAGTACGGGTAGACGGCGACTGATCACGGCGTTTGCGTAGATAGGTGTGGGTGTACTGCCTGCAGTAAAGGCTGTTAAGGCTAAAAGGGTGCGTAGGACGAGGCTGAGTAGTACTAAGGAGAAACAAATATGTACGACAATGAGTGTGGAGCTGCTAGCGCAGCTAGTAGCAGTCGTAGGTGCGTGTAAGTCGGTAAAGGTGAACTGAGCGAGATAAGTCCACAGGTGGATATGACGGGCGCTTCGACACCTCCAGGGCAGTCAAATCACCACGAGCTCCGATCAACCTCACCTTACACCGCAATCAGATTTCTTACACCTGCTTTCTACTGCGGTACATCGTCGCGGTAATTATCTCTTCCGCCTGAACCGGCATAACCAGACCATCTTGGGCCGCCGGGCCAACGAGGGTCCCGTGTTTTCTTGCCGTGGTTGCCTTCCTTACTTTTACGTTCCTGTTCCTTCGCCAGACAGCCTGGACACGGTCTACTTTCGAGGTGGAATCGGTTTTCGACCTTGTTGCATTGATGCTGTATGATGGAATGTTGGGCTCGTGAGCATAACGTTAAAGGGTGTAAAGGGCGAAGTAGTGTGTCCCCGCATGAGTATTGTATGCAGTGGCGGACGCACATTGTCAAGTCTAATATCCGGAAAATGTATATGAGAAAGCAAGTACGGTCTCGCCCATTGCTTTAGTATGTCGTGCGCGTGAAGAGTTGGCGCCAGTGATTGACAGCGACGTGAATTGGTATGTGGAATGGCAAAAGTTTGACATTTTCGTGCTAGCAAACCAGCGTAAGATAATATTTACAGTAAAGAAGTCGCCAGGGAAGTGAACGACCTTTGGCATCTTCACACCCTTGCACCATCACAGCATCTGCGTCACCGCCTCAGGAAGTTGAGTCTTTCCACAATGGAAAGCTTACGGGCAGTTGACAGTGATGGAAGCGGAGCCAGTGGAGAAGTAACCCTCAGTGGCGACGATCTGGTAGTAGTGGCTACCAAGAGTCATGCCCTTGCTGGCCCAGGCGTCAAAGTGAGTCTTCATGTTGACGGATCCGCTGGAACGCTTGTTCTGGCGAACAGACCAGTACTGCTGAAAG